GGAGCCGGTAGGCGAAGGGAGCTACTATACACTTATTTTACTTTAATGGTAGGATTCTAAAAATATACTATAATATACTTATGTTATTTTAACAGGTGTGATTACAATATGTCAATATAGCTGATAATAATTGCAAAATAACTTAATATAGCTTATTCTATAATCATAGAGATAATTTAWTATGCTATATGCATATTAGTAATAATACCTATACAATTTGGTAATAAGATAATAAAATTATAAAATATATTATTTAGCGATATTGATGTAAATATAGAACGAAAACCAATTAAAATGTGCTTTCTTTTCTTAAATATCCTAATTTATAATAGTTATATTATATAATATTTAATTTTTAAAATAATTATAATTTAAGATTGTCATCGGGAAAAAAAAAAAATCTAAAACCGTTTTACGCGCTACGCACGGCAGTAGTGTACAATAGTGTTGCGCGCATGAGTATAAACATAAGATCGCAAACTTTGAGGGGCTATAACTTCCAAAATAATTGTCTCCACGCAAAAATTCAAACAGTTTCGAAATCAGCGTTGAAAAACACGTCTTTTAAAAAACAAAATCGTAATTCGTGAGGTGCGTGGTAAAGTGCATTTGTTCCATAACTCGTAATAACCATACTCGTTGTAGACGTATATTTTAACATACAATCATATTATGAGCTTTGTGCCGGGACCTAACGTTTTGCTCGTTGTAAGCAGTATCTCGTTCTAAGCGATGCTCGTTATAGATATTTCTACTGTATATTCAACTATAGTACCTACTATATTACTATAATATTATTTTATATGTGCGAATACGTACCTACTACCTACCAAGCACGTATCCAGGATCAATTTGTGGGGGGGGGGGTGAACCCCTAAATCCCCCGTCTGTATACGAGCCTGCTAYCTACCTATGTCAACATTGACCAACACATTACTGTGTAGGTATATCAACATTTACCAAAATCCTAACGTAAATGTCAACTCTGTAAATCTCTGTATTACCTATTTTAATTTTTAAATATTYACCAATTTAATAGGTGTATGTTAACATTCGCCTAGTATAGTATAAGTCAAACCATTTCATCAAAAATCTATATTACCTATATTATTTTAAAAATTTTATATTTTTTAAATTTTTTATACCTAAATACTTAATAAATATAGTTATATATTAAATAATTATAATTTATTTCACATATTTTAAATGTACAAATGACTAAGAAATTTTAGAATAATAGGTACCTATACTTATTTACATAGATTAGGTACATATTTTGTACATTTTTTAACTGAACAATTTTGTTTATTTMATATAATATTTACTCATTTTTAGTTTTWAATATGTACTTATAAATCCGTATATACATCTGAGCATTGGTAATTATGAATGATCATTAAAATTTGGAAATATTCATATTTTCATATTTTTTTTTATTCTTAGGTACCATTTTGTGTACCAAATGATATACATATGACCAAAMTTCTATAATTATTTTATTGTTTTGATTCATTATATATATATTTTTAAATTATTATTCATACTTTTTATATTTTGA